CGCAGAGAGAGTATAAAGCAGTTATTCTAAGCCGTTTCCCTATGGAGATGGGCTATATAATGTATGCAGGTGATTTGTGACTCCAGTAGGAAAGGATAACATCTCCTAGCCTTCCTCTTTAGGTGCGTGCCATTTTCCAATTAAAGGTGGCCATCTGTTCAGGCATTCTTTGAACAATGTGGTTACTTTATGTAATTTTAGCTTTAATACAAACCATCAGAACTCAATCATTCTCTTGTCTCAAAGATGTTAGTGGTGGTTTCTCCATTACTTTTGAGGTGATTTATTAAGATCAAGAATCAGTTCCCTTTGTTTAGGATAAGCGAATCGCCCTTGCTGGTGCTCTCATGCCACTGGAACTCCTCCATGAAGATGGGTGTGCTGGTGCTTGCGCAGTCCCGTGTAACGTGTGGCCCAGGTCTATCTACGTGAGCAGATAAAGGATCTGTGGCTTTGTTAGGGTGAAGAACTGAGTCTGGAATGGGCGGCTGTATGCCACATTGCTTCCCCTGAGGAAGGGATTTCATGAATGTACTTCTAGAGTTTCCCCAGCAGGTCTAGAATATATTCGGATTTTGTCTGTCATTTGGGCCTCAGTATACTGCAGCTATTTGTGCCTGTGTCCTTCAATTTGAAAATAAAAACCCTTCGTAACCTTAGGAGCATTCAGTTTGCTTTATTCTGAGGTCTCATTTGGGGGGGATTCTTTTATTCCTCATTCATACTAGTAAAGAAGATTTCAAATGTCCCGGTGACACTCTGCCACCAGCTGAAATCACGGTGAAAGCAGCAGCCCACGATGATTTCGCTGTCCGCAAAGCCAGAGCAAACAAAAAGACTGGTAGCCCCAAGCAGAAGTTTGTGCATTTTGGGCCAGTAACTGAGATTGATCAACAGAAATGGGACAAGCTCGTTATTGGCAGAGCTTCATCCAAGAGTGGAACAGAAGAGGAAGGCAAGAAAGACAGTGTGGAGAGTCACTCTGGTGTCAGAAGCTCTCCTTCAACTGCTACTGACCGTCCCGGGTTTGCTGAACACAGCAATGAAGTATCCAAGATACAGAATAAGTCCAGGTACTTGGTGTGACTTAGGAAGCTCTGCTGAGCTGGAAATGAGACCTGTTCTTGCCAGATGCTGATCTGCATGGAGATGGACTGCAGCATAGACCTAAGAGCTGTTTATGTGCACGGCCTTGTCATCTGACGCCCTCACAATATCTTAACGTGTTTAGGGTTATGCAAAACAGTGCTGTGCAAAGGTCTTCTGAGAGCTTGCCTCAGAATTTCTGATGAGTGGTGAAATCACTGGTATCTCAGAGTTCTGAGCTATCGTTCAAGTTTTTTTCTGCCACTTGAATTCCAGTGGCTTTGCTCTGCCTGCTTTCAGCACAGTAGGAATTTGTCCTTCAGCTTGCTGGCCTTACTGATGTTCAAAAAATACTTTCTTCAAACCTAACAGATTTACTTTTTTTTTTTGAAGATACAATGCTGAAACCAAGATGTATCTTGTGCTCTGTGTTTCTGGCATTTATCTGGAGGAGAGTTACAGCTATGGGAAGTTAACATATTAACAGAGCTTACATTTATTTGGCTTTTCTTTAATCGCTTAGTCCGTAGCTGTGGCAAGAATTTTTAATGAATGCTTTTAGCAAGCAATTCATTCAGTTGAGTTTGTGTGGCCTCCTCTTCTTACCTTTCAATTGACCTGAGAACATTTTGTCTATCTCACCCCTCCTCTCAATTGCATTGCTAGTGAGGTAGCTGCATCAGGTACAGATGACTCTTGCAGGAGAATGCTGTCACCTGTCCCGGCTTGTGGCATCGCCTCTGAGAAACAAATCCAGTGTGATTTGAACGAACTGCAAGAAAGCACTGAGGAAGATTCCGTCGGGCATTTACCAGACATTGAGAGAGACGATATGTTGGTTAGAAGAATGGGAACTTTCCAGAGGCGTACCACTAGCCCCGTTCCCATACGTTGTCCGCCCCTGTCAGTAGTTCCTCATGTGCTGCAGCAGCGGCAAGGGGAGGTGGTAGCTCATGAGAAGGATTTGAAGACTTCACAGGAAGTAGAAAGGTCAGAGAACAGAAGCAGATCCCTCTGAGCTTCATGCCTGGTTTGTGCGTGGTGTTAGCTTGGATCAGTCAGCAATGTTGTTCCATTCTTCACATCGCCTTTAAAGATGTGTTTTACTTATTCATCATGGCATGTGTTCTGTTTTATGAAATTACTTACAAGAATGTATCCTATGAACATAAACCAGTCTGTTTTCTTTCATAATATTTAAGTACTTCAGTTGTTAATTGCTGTTCAGCATGAAAATACTCTTTTATCTTTTGAGGGAATTTCTTTTGCAATCCGTGGTGTTTTGTCCAGACTTTTATGCCAGCTTCCAAGTGAATAATTCCTCGCATACGTTTTTATGCAATTCCCAACTTCTAACATATCACCTACGTAAGTGTGGCATTCAACATAGTTTCCTCTTGCTCTCACTCCCTGCGCTGTAGCTAAAGATGCCTAGTTGTCCATCACTCTGCAACTGTGTTTTGAGTAACAGTACTCCACGTTGCCTGAGCAGCTGCTGGTCTTGGGCTGCACAAGCGAGCGTTATCATGGAACAGTGTCACTTGTCTCTCTGAGCAGTACTGTCACACGAGAAGAAAGCCAAGAACAGCTTGAAATCCCTCAGCAGCAGAGCAGTGGAACAGAAAACAAAGTGAAATTTCCAGACCCACAAAGAGATGACATGTTGGCCAGAAGAACTGGAGCTTTCTTAAAACAGCCTGGGCCCAGTGTTAAGCAGTTCCTTCCCATGCCGTTCTCAAAGCAGCAGAGTAAGCAGGGCACAGCTAGAGAACTTGAGAAGAAATCTACAAGGTAAGAAAGTTGTGGTTCTCTAAAACCCTGTGGGCTGTTTGTCAAGGTCTCTTGATCTTGAGGAGTTGCTGTTGGCCCAGCAGCAGTTTCGATTCTGTGCCACCTCTCTCTGCTCAGAAGACAGCAATGCAAGTTTTCTGGCCCTTTTGGCAGAGCCCTGTAAAGGCTTGGAGCAGAGTTCTACCAGATGCAGAATTCTAGCAGCATGTGGAAGTGGATATGCATAGCAAGATTGTGTTACATTTGCAGAGGTTTCCGGTTAAATATGAGCTAATCATTGCAAACGTTTCCAGCTAGAAATAGAGGTGCTGGATGTGGTAGGTTAGATGCTTGTCTATGGCTTAGCTGGTGTCAGTGACTTCCAAACAGGAAATCTAGAGATCCTGAGATTCCCTCCTATTAAGGCTGGGTGTCTTTCTAAGCACCTTTGTTCAGATGAGTAAGGCTATGTGGGGAAGTTGGTGGTCTAAGCTTTTGAACAGAGTTATGTTTTGGCTGGCTGAGCCACGTGCAAGCAAGAGTGGAAAGGTTCTTACTCATCAACCTCTTCAAAGTACATGAGGAGGGAAGGATGTGCATGCACCTGTGCACACACAGATGAAAAACTAGTGTACAGGTCAGCCAGGAGAAGAAAAATCTGTCATCTACCATTGAATTGAACAGTGGTTTGGTGTTGAGAAGACCTTAAGTTGAATAGCTTTGTTAAAATATGTACTTAATACTTTAATCTTTGGTGGTGTTCAGGACAGTTTGTGTTTTTTGACTCTGAGAAATGGAAGCACAAGCTCTTTATTAAAATTATGGTTTTTGCACCTGCCTCACTTAGCTTGTCACCTATCAGCTATTTGGGTTTGTGGGGGTTTTTTTTGTTAACTTACAGTTATGCTTTTCATTATGTATATGTGATTTTTCAAATGTTACTTAATACGTCTCTTTGCACTGCTGCCTTTGGCTCACTCAGGCCTGAAAAAAGTCCACAAGTCTGCATTAATAGCTCTGGAAAACCTGTAGTACAACCAACGCAAGGACAGCAACAAGGACAGGAAAAATGCAGTCTCCCTCCTGCAGGACAAGATGAGACTATTTGTAGTGCCCAAGGGGGTGAAGGTAGCCTTGATGAAGTCCACCTTGATCAAACACCTAAGCTTCAGGAGGTTCCTGAGGAAAACAAAACGGAAACATTGTCATCCAAGGATGAGCATCCACAAACGTGAGCTCTGTATGGTGTGAATCACGCAGTTTGTACGCCCCTGTGTGCACACTTCAGAATTCAGATTTTGCACTGCTTGGTGTGTTTTCAGTCCAGACTAAAATATTGTGTGTCAGTAATGCACTTTTTAGAAACAAGCAGAGTAGTTGTGTAATGTATTGTTCTCTCTTCTACAACTTATGAAAGGAAATACTTGATTACAGGTATATATGTGAATTGCAAAAAAGGTTTATGAGTAGCAGAGGTTCAACTGGACTCTGCTGGCCATCCTCAGAGATATGTATCTTGCTTCTCTGCGATTGGAAAATGTTGCAGTGTTGAGTTTTGTACTTAATGTTCTTTAATGATAACTCTCAGATACAAATACATGGTTTGCATGGCTCTAAACAAGACTGTCACTTTAGTGGATGACACTGACTTGTGTATTATCATTATCTTTCTTCAGCTACATACACAAAAAAAAAGGGGAAATCCTATGGCTCACTTTCTGCCTATATTTGTCTCTTCCGTGCTTCAGTAATGGTGATTCTGAGCACTGCTGTGGGATGTAACTGCTAAGATTTGTCTCCGTTCATCGCATGTGTGGCACTTAATGTAAATGTTGGTATATTGTCTATTTTCAATAACTATTTTCTACGCTCATTTTAGGTATACTTCAGCAGATTTTTATAATGGGGGCATTAGCATGGAGTCGGGAGGGAGATGGGGGGTGTTCTTAGGTAGTTCGACCTTCAGACGATTAGGTAAGTCTTGTTTGCTGAGTACATGATCCCTGAGCAGCATGATTCTTTTTTGGTAAATTTTGCTAGTACACGTTGGATGGTCAAGTGACAGTTACGCAAATTGTATGGGTCCAGTTGCAATTACTACTTAATGTTTTATCAACGCTCTAATTTTATATTTGGTCTTGTAGATTCGGCCCCAGAACTGCTGTGTCTGATGACGCAGAGTAAGTTGTCTTGTGTTCACAAGATTCTATTTTAAACAACTTACACTGCATGCTTTCCCATCTTCCTACTAATTTAAAATGCAGTTGATGCCTCATTATTATTTTGCAGTGTTACAGCAAATAAATTTTTCAGAAAAGCACTGAAAAATGGAATGCAATATAGCTTACATTGCAGCTAAAAATAATTTTTATGTAAAGCCCATAAAAAACGAGTGTAATACTAATGTCCAGCTGTTGCTTAAAATATTGTTTCCTCTTTCTTTTATTTTATTTTCTTTTGTTTTTCTTCTGAATTTCCATTGCCTCTAATCAGCTACAGGTAAAGAGAGTTGGATTGAATCTGGGTTGGGTGTTGAGTTAATAAGGTATGACTTATACAGGAAGAAAAAAGAAATCCCAAGTAAAATAAAATCCATTGTGAACACTTACCAGGAAAATTTATCTTCAGTTGTTAGTTTATTGTAATTTTAAACTTTCTCTTGAATCCCTTCTAGGTTGGGTTTCATTTAATAATGTACTAAATTTCACTTTTTTAAGCTCTTCACCTTGATGCTTTACTTTTCACAGAAGGAGTAGGACTGTGACGTTTATTGCACTTAAGCATATTTTGTGTGTGGATACATGTAAACTGTAGTTCAGAATAGTATGCAATGTCATTTAGAAAGCTCTTTGAAGGTATTAGCTATTCTTACAAAATGCAGGCATTTAGAGCAAAGAAATAGTTGGAAACTACCCATGTAACACTGTCCTTGATATCCTTCTTCTGTTCACAGAAATGCACATGACGTCTGTCTCTCAGATTAAATCACAAAATAGAGCATAGAGATTTTTTTAATAACAAGTATATTCAGAGAGTCATATATCATTTTTCATACTTTCCTCTAATGATAAAGGCTAGAATCGTGGACTCAATTTCTTTACAGGACCTTTATGCTGTGAAAAGCCTGTGTCTTCTGACCACAGAGTAAATGTAATAATTTTCAAGCAGCAGAAATATTTTCAATCAAATTAATAAGTGAGATAAAAAGTGCATAACAACACAGAAGCATTATACTTAAGAATAGAGACTTCCCTGCCGTTTCAGAAAGCCTGCCTGATTGATTTGTTCATTTGTTTTCCCACATTTTTACATGTCTATATTAAATACAAACTTTAGAGTAGGTACATGGAGATGCCTACAGAGGCATTGCAATACGTTTGGTTGCATAATGTGAGAATAGCAGAGATGAATAAATCATATTGTTTACTCCACTTTGATTCTGATTTTATTTTAAAAGGCAAAACAATAAATGTCCAAGCCTTGTTGTTGTCCTTTCCAGATGTGCCACAGTTTACAGAGCAACTGTTTTCCTAAACTGTCTTTAAAGTCTTTATAAATCTAAGATCGTATTTTTCCTTCTGAAGATGAAGTACTTAAGAAGAATCTAATAAAATTTGGCTCTTAAGTAGGAAAAATAAATTGAACTGACATTTAAAATGCTTCCAAAGTGTTTGTCAAGTCTCCTTTGAAAACTCTGTAACTTGAATTCAGTTTTAGACTAGGTGCTGTTTATTCCAGCAGCAAAACTAGAAACTCTCTTGTTAGATTGACAACGTTCCCTTTGCTGGTTAGTGAATGCTAGGGATTGTCATCAGCCCTGATCTGTCTCAAGGTCCAGAAAAGGCGGTACTTAGTGTGTTGCTACTCATCAGCAGTGTTCCCGTCTCCCAAGGAGATGGAATTGAATTATGGTGGTAGTGTGACAGTCCAGTGTGGGTTTAGGTTTATGCTTTATACTTTAAGCCTGACAAGCAAATTATATGAGCTGAGATTTTGGGGTATTTGCTTACCAGAGTTTGATTCTTTAAGCCAGACTGTCACTTTTTATGTTTTGTTGGGGTTTCTTAAGCCTTAGTATATCTGTGAAATGGTAGTGCAGTTTTTTACGTTATTTCTCACTTTCAAATTAAATGGTTTGAACACTTGTTCAAACCTGTTTAAAAAAAAAATGCTGGATGATATAATTGACAAGAAGAGCTGTAATTTTCAAGAAGTAGCATAACTTAAAAAATCACATCATCCTAAAGATCTAGCCCTCCAAAATACACTGCTGATCTGCATAGTGGTTTTTGCCAGATCTTTGTTAGAACACCAGGTCTGGTACACTGGTCAGCAGAAAGGCCTCTGGCTTCCGGACAGAGTTTGGATAAAAACACCGGTTACTTCTCCACTATCTACTTGCATGCATGTGTGGCCTCTGGCCCAGCACGTAGCTGAAGGAAGGACTAAATCTAGTTCTGTTCATGCAGGTGTTAGTAATGGGCTGGAGCCATTTGTAGTTTATATAAGAAAGAAGTAGGACAAAATTATGTGGGACTCATAGTGACAGTGTCTTTTGGCAGAAGCTCAGAGTTTTGGCCTCTCTGATGCTTTCCTAAGGATGAACTTGTCAGGCAGAGAAGCCGATGCGGACCTTTCAGTTGGCCTTGTCCATGTATTCAGGAAAGTAGGTGGTTCTCCTTAAAGGTTACTACGTGTTGTTCAGAGGAGAGCACAGTGCTTTGAGATGTGTCTCCTTCAGATTGCTCTCTCGGGAAGGTACATTTATGCAATAACATGTTGCTGCAGAGTTGATGTTTGAACCTACCTGATTGCTTACCCGTGGGAATGAAGGTGGTGACAGTAGGAGGTGACAACTAGAGTAGAAGGTGCATGTTTGATTCCTGGCCTTTTCCAGAGTACCTTTTTTATTGCATCGTTGATAGCCATAAACCCTTTGGTTTCACTGTCTCTGTGCACCCTGAGAGGCCTGAGTGAATGCAGGAAATAAATACTAGCCTTTCATTAGGACATGAGGGGACTCTTGATAGAAAATATTTTTATTTTCCCATCACAAATGGCAAGAGAGCAAGTACTCGTGCATTCTGCTAGAACCAGTTACCAGCATTTCAATTCTTCTGTTTTCCTCTGCTGTATGTGAATGAAAAATTTTGTGAGATGAGGAAAGGATACAAGGAGGGAGCTACACAACCAGTTTGGCCCAGTGGGCACAAGGTGGTAAATATTTAACACTAAAGGCTTTTCTTAGTGTGAGTTTCAAAAGTTCTTATACTAGAATAACCCTTTAAGGATGACTTTATTATAAGTTATGCATCTCCCAACCTACCTTACCAGTCTGCAAAATATGACTGATATTTAAATGTTCCTTACTAGGTGATACACCTTTAGTTTTAAAACCAGCAAAACTTGCCATCTCTTTAGGTTCTGTTATTTAGGAGTGCTTCAATCCAATCCTGAGCAATGCAACCGTTAAACTACCCACAGAAAACCCAAATTAGTGTACCCCTCAGCACTGTGTTTAAGGGATGAAGCACAGTAATATGCTGACCTTGCTGTTCATGCTTAAAGGCAATAGGATGTGTATTCTGTCCTTTATTTCTGAATAAACGCCTACTAACAGGATGGGATCTGTGCATGTCCTTCTCCATCCACTGTCCAGACCTTTCAGTTTTCCCTTTAGAGTGGTTCATTCCCATCTTTGCTTGCCTGAATACAAATGTCAGCTAAGTATATACGTGCACAGCTTTCCTTGTCTGTTCACTTTGATTACTGCAGACACGATTGCCAACAATTCTGTCTTCATTGGGTGCTTCTCCTGCTAGTTGGCGCATTGGCTCACCTAAAGCTACAGATGATCGTTTGAAGACTGCTGTGAAATCACTTCATATGGAACTGCATGGCTTTTTTTTTTTTTCCTTGCTTTCAATAGCACAATTGAGGTCATGTTTTACTAATAATAGGTAATAGGGGGGAGTAGTAAGTATGTTATCTTCATGTGAAGATATTTATATAATGTGAATGGATGTGTAATATCAAACCATGAGGTTGTTTTTTTTTTATTTAACTCTCCAAAGGTCAGGGGCAGAAATAGAACACGTAGAAAAAAATTGTTTTGTCCTGAACGTCAGCTTTTCCTTGTTAGGTTAGCTGTATTAATAAGCTGGTGCTGATAGCATTGAGTTTCTTCCAGGCAGGGAGGGGAGAGGAGGAAGTACCATGCTGTTTGTGCTGCGTGTACTTCTCTGGGCGGGCTCTCTGCAGTTTTGTACGAATAGTGTTTAGCCAGCCATGCTGCCCCTAATATACTTCTCAAGCCTCTCTTGTTTTATACTGAAATGGAGTCTTCTGTCTGCCGTGTTAATTGGAAGGGTCTTGAAAATTCAGTGGGAAATGAATCTTCAGAAAGTAAAATGTTCTGAGCTCAGCTCTGAATAGAATGATTTTAATAAGAGCTATTGATGGAGGTGTAACGTTAGTAGTGCGTCTTAGTGAGAGACGAACTTGCTGTTGACTAAGAAAAACAAGAGAAAGTTGAGGAGTATGATGCCCGGAGTACTATGTGGGAGCCATAGGGATGCTAACTGGTCCTTCTAGGGGACTGCTGCTTTTGGGAGCTTCGAAACGGTGCAGGTGTCTGATTCTGCTGTAGCACCCTCATGTGGCTTTCACTCTAACAAGCTGAAGGAATATAAGCCTTTAAATAACGCTGCACCGCTTCTTTTTCCCCCCGTGTTTAGGAGTATGAGCATGTTTGACATGAGATGTGAAGAAGAAGCTGTGACTCAGCCTCATAGCAAAGCTCGCCATGAGAAACTGCAGAACATACACAACCAGCTGAAAGAGGATGAGACCAGATGGCAAGATGTGAGTATGCAACATCATCTGCAATGCTGCCGTTGAGGCCGACTAACTAGGCAAAAAAAGTGCAACCTCCTAAATCTACAGTTGTTCTGTAGCACTAAAATAATCAGGAGCTTTTTTCCATTTTTTTTCCCCTCAATGAGTTGTTGCTAAGAGCATAGAAGTTAATAATTTGATGTAAATTACATAATACAAGACCTTCTGGTGTCTCTGCATGTGCACCAGGTATTTTGCTTTTTTAAAAAGATGTAATTAAACTGTGATTAGGAAGCAGAACAGCTTCTAACTGCTGATTTCTCCAACTTTTATAATTATTAAATGTCCAAAGTGACAAAATACAAGACTCGGCAGGACAGCGAATAAATAGGTTGGACTTGGCTTTAATAAATTTGCATAGATACAGAAAACGCTAACATTTTGCATCTTGTCTTAGCAAACAAATTACTCTTCAAGTTAGCTACACCCTGCTTTGGGTTACAAGGCCTTTCAAAACCCTCTTTCCTCAATGTGTTTATTTTAAGCTGTCCTGGCATTTGCCATTATCTTCAGCAAATTAATAAGGACTGAAAAGCATGATTCGCAGGTAAGTTAGTATCAAGAGTTCTAGTATCAGTCCTGTGCGTTCCTAAAGACTTATTTTAAATGAGGGATTTGGGACATCTTTTTGTAATTAAAAAAACCAAACAACAAAACCCACATCTCTCCAAGCAGCTAGTACAGTAATGTCCCACTGTAAGGTCGGTGAAACATTTCAGAGAGGTTTTTGGTAGAAAATTCAAGGAAAAGACAACAAAATAACAATATATACAACTAAGAAATAACTTTTCCTAGTAGAACAATGAAAGATTTCAGCTGAGAGGTCTGTATGTGTGGGAAGCTATAATTTCCCAGCAGAGATAAGAATGAGTCCAAAGGCATTCAAGAGGTTTGAGAACTCTCTGCTGTTGAATGGAAAATCCTCTGAGCTAAAGTGCATAAGTTTTCCAGTCCCTCAGCACCTTCTACACTGAACTAGAAGTTCTGAAGAGGTACTAAAACTGCCCTCACTGGAATGTCCTTGGCACTCAAAGGGCTTTATGGAGACGACACCACATTCATGGTGATATTTTTTATATGTCCGTGCTGTAAATTTGCCAACAATTAACAGTTTCGTGGCTTTTTTTAATTGTTGTTATTCTAAAGCATCAGAGCTGGAAAAGATAAACATGTCTGGTTTTTAATTACAAAAAGAGCAGGAGGGCTTATGTTATGAAATTTGCTAATGTAAAACTTAATTTCCAAACAATAGGCAATAGTGGGAGTAGCTGAATAAAGAAATGCTTCAGTACTTCAATAAGAATAATTAGTAACTGAGGAAAATGAAAGGCTTATGTTTCAAGAAGGGGATTATAGACTGATATATGTAGGTCATGTGAAGAAATACTTTAATGAGCATTCCCTTGAGTGTAGCGTCAATAATTTGTGGTTTTAAGCTAAATTAAAAGTGACAAGGTTTGTTCCTGGTTTTAATAAAATAAGTTATGCTTGCCATACCTTCTGCTGTTTACCAATAAAAATGCAATTAAAATATCTGGAAAACCATGTAATTAATGAAACAGCCTTTGAATTGAGTATGTGTACAGAATCTCTGGTTTTTATTAAGACCAGAATTTGTTAGAGTGCATGAAATATAATCTGTATACTAATCTCCTGATGTTGTAAAGTTAATGACAAATGTGCCCCTACAGTTTCCTAGGAAGTTATTTTTCTTTGCAGAAGTTTTGCAGAGGTTATTTTTTACATGTAAAATTTTGTTCCTTTACTAGTTGGCTGCAAAGAAATTTTACAGCTTACGAAACTTCTTTACTGTAATACTTTTAAAGTGAAAAGGTCTTGTTTCTGTATTCTCCAGGACTTGTGAATTCGTAACTCAAGCAGGATGCAAGACATAGGTGCCTGTAACAGGTATCTCCTGTGACCCTCTGTTTTAGTGTCAGGCTGGTTTTGCAAGAAGGGTAAAGAACCAGATTCAGTGGATCTTCTGGACAATTTTGGGCAGGCAGATTCCAGAAAGAGTAAGATCATTGCTCCAACAAGGACATATCTGTATAGCTGGATACAAACCATAGGCTTTTTACTCTGTCATGTCTCACGCCAACCAGGTGGAGCCACTTTAGTCCCTAACTCGTGTTGCTCAGATCAGAGTCCAAAATATTAGAGGAAGTCCACGAGAAAGAATTTAAGTTTGGATGCCACACTGTCAAAAAAAAAAAAAAAAGCATGGGTGAATCATGCTCGCATGTAGTTGGCTGATAGCCTGGGCAAAGTATGGGACTGTCGGCTCTCCAAGGCAGGCTATCAGTGCGGCTGTAGTTCATGGTGAAACGATGCCCCTTCCTCTAATGAACTCCTGCCTCCCACACATCTGATTATAAAAATTCTTCACCAAACATAATTTTTCTACTTTATCTTCCTGGGGAACCAGGCTTTGTCCTTAATGTTGGCCCAAGCGAAAATGAGTGCCCTGACTGGTCCTTTTAGGCCAGATTTCCTGGTGTTATTACCTTGCATGCTTCTGCAACACTACAAAGCCAAAAAGAAAATATACCAGTAGAGCTGTGAAATCCTTACTAGATCCTGCTGTTAGGAGAAAGATCAGTCAGGCAACATCTTCCTTTTATGATATAATCTCCTTTTCTCTTTAAAATAAATATCGCTGCCTGCAGGTAGTGGGAGCCTGGTCCACTGCTAGGACCAAGCATTGCAAAGTGGCTGGCTGGGTTCATTGGTTCCTATGGCCAGTTTTTAGCTATTTGCAAATCTGCATTCAGGTGCCTGCCTTCTCTCACAGGACCTGGCTCGATGGAAGAGTCGTCGAAGGAGCGCTTCACAGGATTTAATAAAAAAAGAAGCTGAGAGAAAGAAAATGGAAAGGTTATTGTCTGGAGACGGAATGAATGAGCGCAGAAAAAGCATCAAAACCTACCGAGAAATTGTGGAAGAGAAGTATGTTGTTTTACTCAAGTGCAGTGGCATGTCTGAAAATGCTGTGTGCTCCATAGGGGATAGGTAACTGTGGGCAGCCTTGCCTGCAGCTCTGGAATGAGGGGAAGGGAAGGATGTTGATGGAGCAGAGGAAATAGGAGTGATTTCCGTCGTTAACTTTAATGCAATGCTCTCTCTTGTGTTGTCTCCTTGCAGAGAGAGAAGAGAGCGGGAGCTTCATGAGGCGTACAAGAATGCAAAGTCACAGGAGGAGGCCGAGAGCATCCTCCAGCAATACATCGAAAGATTCACTATCAGTGAAGCTGTCCTTGAGCGTTTGCAGATGCCAAAAATTCTGGAAAGAAGCCATTCAGTGGAGCCAAATTCACCACTGAAAGACCCGAATCCTCTGAGATATTTAAGGCAACAGTCTCTGCCTGCTCCAAAATTCACTGCCACCATTGAAGCAACCATTGTTCCCACCGCTGAACTAGAGCCCAGCAGTTCCACGGGCCGCACATCTCCCAGCAAAAGCGTTGTCTCCAAGGCTGTGCCTATGCTGACACCCAAGCCTTACTCACAACCCAAAAATACACAGGAAGTTTTAAAGAACTTTAAGGTAGGATACGTTGCACTCCCCAGAGTCAATCAGGAGGCAGAGAGATCCTGGCTAAATCATCTGAACATATGGATGTTTAATGCAATTATGTAGAAAATGGTTGCTGCCTTCTGATGTTATAAAATGGCTTCCCACTTTGTGCTGCCCAGTCTAGTGGTCTCTTCTTGGTTACCAACCTTCTTAGAAACTTGACCTGTCCAGACTGGAATATTTGTGCTGGTCATTTTTCCTCAGGCTAAATTTGTTTGAGGAAAGACAGGGAAAGGGGAGCCTCTAAGAAAAAAGCAAGTCGTTTTCTGAGAAAGAAGTTAAGAGTGAGTGTGTTGTCATATTTTTTTCTTTTTAAACAAAAGAGAAGAGGCAGGGAGCATGGAGGCCCTGACTTTTGGAGCAAAGGGTCTGATTTTTGTGTCAAGGGTCTGATTTTTGCCATACCTGAACAAGTCTGTCTTGTTCAGCCAAGTCATAAGCCTTTGAAACGCTACAGTTTGCACATATTCAGTGTGGAGAGTCCCTACTCCTTCAGTGTTAAGAGCCCGCTTGCCCAAAGATACTCAGTCCTAAACACGCTTCTAACCAGGGATGAATAGGGAAAGCTGCTTCACTGGTGTAAAGAAGGGATATAGGCTGTCCATGCAGGTTTAGGGAAGTAGATTGGTACTGAGGCAGTGGTGTAACTGGGGATTGCTAGTGAGAGAGGGAGAGTGACCACGCTGGGTTGCAAGAACTGCACAAAGATTATGGGAATAAAAGAAGTAAGAGAGCTTGGATGAAAGCAGAGCTGTCTGGAATAAGGAGCCAGCTATGAGATTTGTGGGGGAAGGGGATAGGAGAAGACACTGACACTGGGATATGAAGTTGATTGATGAAGTTGCTAAGCCGCTATCCATCATATTTCAGAAGTCGTGGCAATCTGGTGAAGTTCCCAATGACTGGAAAAGGGGAAACATAGCCCCCGTCTTTAAAAAGGGGAAAAAAGAAGACCCAGGGAACTCCAGGCCAGTCAGTCTCACCTCTGTGCCCGGCAAGATCATGGAGCAGATCCTCCTGGTGACTATGCTAAGGCACATAGAAAACAAGGAGGTGATTGGTGACAGCCAGCATGGCTTCACTAAGGGCAAATCCTGCCTGACTAATTTGGTGGCCTTCTATGATGAGGTTACAGCATTGATGGATAGGGGAAGAGCAACTGACATGGTCTACCTGGACTTGTCCAAAGCATTTGATACAGTCCCACATGACATCCTTATCTCTAAACTGGAAAGACATGGTTTTGATGGATGGACCACTCGGTGGATAAGGAATTGGCTGGATGGTCGCTCTCAAAGAGTTGTGGTCAACGGTTCAATGTCCACGTGGGGGCCAGTGACGAGTGGTGTTCCTCAGGGGTTGGTACTGGGACCAGTGCTATTTAACATCTTTGTTGGCAACATGGACAGTGGGATTGAGTGCACCCTCAGCAAGTTTGCAAATGACACCAAGTTGTGTGGTGTTGTGGACGCGCTGGAGGGAGGAGATGCTGTCCAGAGGGACCTTGGCAGGCTGGAGAGATGGGCCTGTGAGAACCTAATGAAGTTCAACAAGGCCAAGTGCAAGGTCCTGCACGTCGGTCAGGGCAATCCCATGCATAAGTACAGGCTGGGCAGAGAATGGATTGAGAGCAGCCCTGAGGAAAAGGACTTGGGAATGCTGGTTGATGAGAAGTTCAACATGAGCCGGCAATGTGCACTGGCAGCCCAGAAAGCCAACCGTATCCTGGGCTGTATCAAAAGGAGCGTGGCCAGCAGGTCGAGGGAAGTGATTCTGCCCCTCTGCTCTGCTCTCGTGAGACCCCACCTGGAATACTGCATTCAGCTCTGGAGTCCCCAACACAAGAAGGACATGGAGCTACTGGAACGAGTCCAGAGGAGGGCCACGAAGATGATCCGAGGGCTGGAGCACCTCTGCTATGAAGACAGGCTGAGAGAGTTGGGGCTGTTCAGCCTGGAGAAGAGAAGGCTCCGGTTTGATCGTATAACAGCTTTCCAATACCTAATGGGGACCTATAGGAAAGCTGGAGAGGGACTTTTTCCAAGGGCATGTAGTGATAGGACAAGGGGCAATGGATTTAAACTGAAAGAGGGCAGATTTAGGTTAGATATAAGAAAGAAATTATTTACGTTGATAGTGGTGAGGTACTGGAACAGGTTGCCCAGGGAAGTTGTGGATGCCCCATCCGTGGAGGTGTTCAAGGCCAGGCTGGCTGAGGCTTTGGGCAACCTGGTGTAGTGGAGGGTGTCTGTGCCCATGGCATGGGGGTTGGAACTAGATGATCTTTGAGGTCCCTTCCAACCCTAACCATTCTATGATTCTATATGAAACCTGAGAAATATATCCTTGGACTGGGTGGGTGTGGAGAATGGGAGTAAGATACTGAACCAGTGATGGAGAAAGCATAGAACTGGGATGTGTTAGAGAGAACAGGCCAGAACAAGTCAAGTTTGAAGAAATCCACTTCTAACAGTGCCTGTACCAAAACTGGAGCTTCCTGAAGTCTCACTGTAGCCTCTGCTATTGGCAATGTGAAGCCTATGGGCATGAGTGCCCCAGCCTATAGAGTTCTGGTCCCCTTGCGCCTGCCATCGCTCTCTGCTTCTGTGGAAGTGGCGTGCAGGGGTACCTGCAGCCCTGCTGATGTCCCAGTAGAATTGCTACCAGGTATATTCAGGTTATTTACTTTTTTAAAAATGAAGTCAGCTTTGTATAGATGGTGAAAAAGTGTGTTGTGATGTCTGTAATCTCTTGAAGTCTGTCCCGGCTCTTGTGGAACCCCCCCCCCCCCTGTGTTTCCTAGTTGAAATGTGAAACTGGTAATTCCTGTTTCTCTTATACCTCAGTTGGTATTCCCCTAGAGATTACATTTTAGACATCAGTGAATCATGGATCTTTGGGTTTTTTTCTGATTCATGCCTCTTTTTTCCTCAGAGGACCAAGATCACCTTCACGTTAATGCGTACATATTTTACATATGTGGGGAGAAACTAACTCAAGGATGCTTCTCCCCACCAACAACCACCACTAAAAGTCTGTCTAGGTCGTATTTGCTTGATGTGGAAGAATGCAATTTGTCTCAGTAGGATTCATTCACCAGCACATGTAGCTGTAGCATTATTTTCCTGTGAAACACCAGTCTCTCGATGATTCTCAGCTCTGGTGACAATGTGTTGACTTGCTCCAGATCAGAAGGAAAGGAGTATGTTTGCTTAACTCTGCAGCCAGGGCATCTGTCCTGATCATTCAAACATTTGGTTTTCCTCCCTAATATAAATAGAGAAATGTCTTAGTCTAAACAGAGATACTAAAATAGATGGTGTGGCCTGCTGGTGTTTTCCTGGCTTTTTTGTTTTTGAGATCTTCCATGACCTGCCTCTCTACTAGATAATGCAGCACACAGTCCCAGAAGACTTGGGGCTCAGTGTCTGGTCACACTTGCATTTGGAAGTAAACCCTAAGAGCAGTACTGTGTTGAGTGGATGGTGGCAGTGAGAAAAGGGAGGGAACCTTTTCATCTGAAAAGCAGTCAGAAGGGGTGAAACTGCTTGTGGAACCAGGCTGTTTCTCCTCTGCCTGGGAGCTGATTGCACGAGGTGCTAACTGCCTTCACCGCCCTCCACGTCTGTCAGAGCTGAGGATCCCCAGCGCCTCGGAGATGGCCCCTTAGTTCGTCACCCTCAGATAGAGAACAGACCTCTGATGCACGTGTACAAGAAGTCAGCGGGAAGAGTTTGCCCTCAGCTTAGCGCTGATGGCATATACTAAGTTGGAGTGCCGCTCTTGACGTATCCAAGCTCTTTACTCAAGAAGTAAAGTACTGAAAAATGGTGAAATAAGGAGTGGGGCAGGGAGGATGAGATGGGAAGAACTTTGTTTTCTTAAACTGTGTTTCAGTTCGATAAAGCAGTTCTGGCACTCGTTGCATCAGTTTTCAGTAACGGTGAAATAAATGAAAAGTTCCCATGGAGCGGCTTAGCTCTGAGCTTGTTTTTTCCTGGGTTTTTTGTTTATGCAGTACCTGTGGAGAAACCCAAGATTACTAATCGCCATATATATCCCAGATAGCTTCTCTTAGAAATCACTATCTCTGCTATTATTCCCTCAAAGTCCGGTGACTAGCAGAGAAGAGTCTGTCCGTATTTACTCCTTCACCTTTGCGCTGTCTCCTGTGATGATCGTTTTGCAAGGAAGGATCTCAGTGCACAGAGTAGCTAAGCCCTCCTTCAGATCTATTTAAAACTCCCACCCTGGTGACAAGCCTATAAACATCCGTGCTGTAGCTAGACAGGAACAATCTGGTGTTACTCCTGCCTAGTCCTCTCCTGGTCTTTCTCCGTTGGAGCCCTCTTACAGTGAATGGCTTGCGAGTTCTTTGTGGCAAGACTTCTTTCATGTATACCATGGCTTCTACAAACAGCCCTCCGAATCGAAGGAAGTCTTTACATGTCATCTCCATTCAGAACATAATTACAAAGTATTGAAGTGCCAAGAGGAAGCTGTGTCAGTGCAGAGGAAGAAGCTAGAGCTTATTTTGTATTTTTTTCCATGCTGAAGGGAAGAATGAATATATGCCCACCAAGGAGCTAGCTTGACGCTGAGAACAAAGTAGTTAAACTGTTCCTGTGCTCTCCTTTTCATGGAAACTGCGTAAAATAATTTTCTGGGAAAGCAGCTGTTTATTTTACCACCTCATGGAGAAGGTGGAATGCCTAGTTTTATTTTTTGGTTCCTTGCTTCCCTGTTATGAACAGTAAAGAAACAAGTGGATGAGCTCTGCTGCTCCTGACCCTTCAAAGTTCACATGACGGTGCTTCAAAAAGCACGATCTACTAATACTGCTGGGAGGTCGTCAGGTTACATAGCAGTTCAGTGTGATTAGCCCTGGAGAACCTGCTCACCTCTTGCATGAGGCAATGCAAAACTTAGCAGTTTTCATCTAAATTTACCATAAAGCTTTGTGGTTCTTCTAAAATCCATTGATCTGTGATGCACACAAAGGCTGTCTGTATGTTACTGGGAGAACGGAATGTGGGAAACTAGGGAATCCAGAAAAATTATTACCTTCTGTCTGTGTTTTGTTTGTGACTTCCCGGAATAGGATTTTCCTCCATCTTTGCCAGTCGAATGAAATGTGTGCTTGGCTCTGTCCTTCACTGATGGCATAGACTGCGTTAACAATCTTAAAATCATGTTGAAGTCCTAATTTCCTAAATTCCTTTGAATGCTAATTGCCTCAGCATATTTATTTAACTGTATTCTGCAGGTAGATGGAAAAGTCAGCGTGAACGGAGAGAATTTCAACGGCGTGGAAGAAAAGGATAAAGAGTGTACAACAGTAACATTTACTCCTTCGCCAAGCAGATCTCTGAAATTTGACGGAGTAGCCAGAGGGGACAGGCCCCCGGTAGAGTTGAAGAAGGACCCCACAAGTGTTGAGCTCAGTTTACAGAGGCCTGCCACTCAAAGTGTGCACAAAGAGCCAACAGTAAGACCAACACGAACAAACCAGCCTTACTTTCTCTGCCAATTTTCTGTCTCGTAACGTATTTAATCACTAACTAATGAAACTCGAGTGCTTATGTTTGCTTTATTTCAAGAAGGTGTGCTTGGACAATTAAAAAAAAACCCAAATCCTTTGTAAATTAAAGGCTTCTTCCTTTGGGATGTGAGTAGAGAAATGGGAGGAGAAGATTCAAAAACTTTTTGCAGCCAGCATCTCTTTTTTTTCAGATGTCATGCAGCTGATAAGCATGCGTTAAATGTGCTGGGCCAGGGAGAAATCTACTCTGTGTCCCAACTATTGTGCGGATTTATTCAGCGCTTCTCCTGATGTTAACTGATTAGATCGGCAACATAATTGGACTGTGCGAGCCATTATAATTAGTCTCAGTTTTCGATTTTCAAAGAAGGGGATGTGGATGTGCTGGCAGTTTTGAGCATTCAGCTTTCATTCCCCTCTCAGAAATATTAGAAAGGGGGATAACCTATTGAAATGCTCAGAGGGGCCAATGTGCTTCTTAACTGCCTTATCAAAGAAACAAATTAATTTTACCTTTTCATCTTTCTCTCCCCCTCCTCCCCAGAGGAAAAGGCAGGAATTAAACTAGAGCATATCACAGCAGGATACAAAACTGTAATAAAAGTAGATAGTAAAAACAAAACAAGAAGTAAGGACCAGACTGCAAGTAAAGCATGTAAAAGGGTTGCAAACAAGTGGCAGAAGAGGGAGTTCTCATGGTTCTTTTCTGTGTAACAACAAAGAGAATCAGAGATGTGGTGAAAGTTGGAGTATGATAATTTTTTTCTTTCATCTCAGATTTCATCCAGATAATTTTTTGCTTTCATCTCGGATTTCATCGAAGCATTGGCCAGATGGATAACGGGGAGCAGGCAGGGATCTGTCCTAGGGAGCGATCATGGTTCATTCATGCCGAAGGGCTTGTGCCCTATCTTACTGCCCTGCTTCATGCCAGGCTCTGGCTATGGACAACCAAGCCATGGAGCCTGCAGCAAGCATGAGAGCTGGGATGTGCCGTGAGCACAAACTTGATCCTGTTAGAGGGAACTGGTATAGGGTCAAAAATGAATGATTTGCAGGGATGGAAAAGCAGAGGTTGCTTCTGTCAGAATGAATTTACTGTAAGGGAAAAGCCAGGTAAGTGTTGCGTCTGATATGGGAGAGCTGGTATTTGGATATTTGGAGGATAGAGAAGAGCCTCAGCTTGCTGTAGATTAGAAACACGATGACAATCAGAAAAGTAGCTGAATGGAAGTGTTACTGTCTCCTTTTTGAGGATGTCCAGACCAGTGTAGCTGTGGAAGAGTTGAAACAGCAACAGAAGCCACTGTTAGGGCTTGAGTGTGATTGTACCTGTTTGATGCCCTTTCATCCTTCCCTTTCTACAGCTTTGGGGATGATGTGGCCAGCTGAACACAGATTTTCTGTGTCTGTTTTCTGCTTCCAGTGTCTTAGCCCTTGTGATATTGGCAAAGGAGACAGAAAAGATTGAATTCTCAGGTTCCTTGTGACTCTGACATTTGCAGAATAACCTCCTGGTTTGTAAGCTTGAATGCACTTAATGATGAAGCCTTCTAGCGAAAACAAGTGTGCACACAAATTGTACTATTGACAGAGTTTCTCTGCTCTAACTAAGGATTTTGTATCGCTAGCTTCAGAATTTCATCAATAATGTGACTGGGTAGTGCAAATCATTATAATTATTCCTGGCTCTTTAGCTTCAAGCAAAGGTATGTGTGTCAAGCAGAGCAAGGAGAGGAGGCTGCTTTGCAGGGATCTTACATGGGGAAACAAGTAGAATGCACTGAGTGTGATGGGGAAAAAAAGAGGGAGACCTGCCTGTGACTGGAAGGGAATTTGCCAGCCTACAATAAGATTAAAGGTTATGTTCCTTCTAGATGTTTGTTTTTCTTTATCCACCTGCTTTGTTTTAATTTTGCAGGTCCTCATACCTTAGACTAAGCATGAGCAGTAGTTTAGCTATTGAACATACAGGAATATGGGAAGGGCTTAGATGCCAGGTTACAGAGATGGGGCACGGTACTGATGCTTGGCTTCTGCACTGCGTGTGCAGCGGCACAGAGCAGCAGTGCTATAGGCAGCGTGATATAGATGTGATCAGTCTGGGGCCATACCTGCAAGAAACAGGCAGCTACGCTGGACTCACTTCGCTCAGTCTTCTCCCTGTTCCTATTTTACTTTTGTTTCTGGACAACTTAACACGACGTTGTCAGCCTGCATCCACAGTCTGAAACGCTAAACTCTCCTCTGAAGGTATAACCCCTCCTAGGAAGGGTGGGAATCCAAATGAGGAAAGAAAAGAGCCTTCTGGGCATGTCACACTCCTCATAAAACATGGCCTTTTGCTGAGCAGGATGCTGAATGATTCTGTAGCTGTCACTGTGAGCCCTCCAAAGGGGAAGAAGGGGTTGGGGTTTTTTTCCCTAGCAGGATGGAGCTTCCAAGCTACACGTTCTTGGAAGTAAGAAAGCCTTCTGAAGCTGCTGCTGTATCATCTCCCACAAGGAGAAGCCAGGGCTATAGTTTTTGTCTGATGCTTAACCCTACTGAATTTTTAGGAGAGGAGGAGAAGACAACAGAAACAGGGATAGAAAAGCAGCTGAGATGAAGAAGCAGAGCTGTTCTGGAGTGGAAGAAACGACGTTTCTTTTGCCTTGAGAAAACTTCTACAAATCGAGCATATCTTCAAAACCTTTTCTAAACTTGCTTTCACTGTCTTATTTGTACACTTTCCTTTATTGATACAGTTCTTGTTAGCTACGTCCTTCCCAGACTTTGAATAAGATTCACAGATGCAAATTCCTCTGCCCATTAAGAGATGCCGTTTCTAGGTGTTTTTTTTTTCCCCCTCTGATTGCTCAGAGATTTGTTTTGGTTTTGTATTTTATTCATTCATTCTCTGCCCTGAGTTTCTTTTGTGAAGTATATATTCCTTTTCATATATACATTACCTTTGGCCCTCTTGTTCTCCCCTCCTGATTCTCTTCCTGTTCTTTGCATGCCCCTTCCTCCTCCTCCATCCTTCTCTGGGCTGCTCCCATGCTGTTTCAGTTCAGTTGTCAAATGAACTAGTCCTGTCTTCTCTCCACCTGGCAGGCTTCCCTTTGAAGCTTCGTAGCCCTGCTCTAAATCTGTCCAGCTGGCCTCAGGCGTTGTCTACACTACGGGAAGATGCTGTGCAGCTGTACTTCCAACAGCTCTTTTGGCCTGAAGTTTGGAAAACAGTTTAGTCGAGTTGCATCACTTAAAATGCTAACGTGAGTGAGGTTTTGAGGGGAGCTAGAGAAGCACAGAGATCATGTCATATGGGTGAGACTTCAGTGTTGGTTGTCTTTTTGACAGAGAAGAACCCTATCTATAGGTGAATCAAATAGTGATTGACAATTGGAGACTGATCAGGAAGCATATGTAACTCCTGCCTGAATCCACTATGAAATAAGATGCAAAAAACTGCAGCAGGTGGGAAGGACAATAAAGAAAAATATTATCAAGAAACTATGCTTGTGTCTGTAGTGTATAGTAGAGTACTTAGATTTTTTTGGAGAGGGGATTTTACAAGACACTTACATTTACTCAAAGTAGCTTATGCAATTTTGCCTATGTCTTAAGGCTAGAAAGGATAAATTTGGCCTATAAGCAGGGTGAAAATATCCCGCTGGTGTTTGTGGAGTGATATGCTGCTAAGAGAGGCAGTAGGTAAAGCATGCCTCTCTTATTGCAGCTGGAAAAACTGAGGCAAAGGCCCAAAGACTGACTGATCAGTCAGTGGCAATGCCAGCAACAACATGAGAATCATCTCCTCACCCTGGTCCTACCTGTCAGCCATTAGGTCTTGTTTTCTTTCCATTAAATAGGACAGTTGGGCACGTTACCAATGCTGAGAAGTTGTATCTTCTAGCTCTTTGAATCAGAAGTTGGCAAAGCACATGTTTTGTTTTAAAACAGTATTTGTGCATATTTAAGTGTAAGGGGATTAATTTGTCAGTGAGTAACATCACTTTATTTTAACCAATCTTTGCATGAGCGTTTAGAAATTATTGGTTTGTTATAGCTCTAATTATAACTTTGCTCTGATCAACTAAAACAAAATAAATATAGACAGCAACTTTAAAAATACCAGGGTGAGGTGGTGATGGTGGGGAGAGATTTTTGCTTTCTTTTGATTTTTCACTAGCTAGCTTAAACTTGTCTATTTCTACTCACTGCATGCTTGGCACAAAATAAACTTCTTTAAAGTAACACTCTCCTTCATCTTCAAAACTCCACTGATTGAACTGAGATTAAAGTATAAGCTTTCATGTGGTTGAGGATTGTTGGCCAGGCTACAGGAGAGCAGGGTTGCAATCCTGATTTGTACATATCTGGTAGGACAAGTCTTTGTTCTTTGATTCATTACAAGAAACACTTGTAGAGTAAGTGCGCCTGTTCCAGATTGACAGCTTTGCCTTGAACCACACATGGAAAGATACGTGGAGGGCTGGACTACCTGAAGGGAAAAAAGTTTAGGATGAGAAGTGAGAGCAGCAAAGCTTCAAAGCAGCTAGAAGGAGACTCTGCTGAGGATATAGTTACAAATCTAGCGCCCATGCCTCCAGTCCTCCAGACACCCATGCACTTGTCAATGTTTATGAGTGACAGGAGCTTATTTTGCATCCCAATCGAGCAGTTATAACTCTAGAAGAATGACTAGCAGGAATACTTAGTACTATTTCTTGCAACACTTTCCAGGCTTCTCTGTCAATTACTCTTCCATGCTGGTCTTTGCTTCTAATAGCTGGCCTGAGTATAGCATTATATAGCTGCCAGATGAGACAGATGATTTAATGTGTCAGAGCAGTGTTCTGGCTGTAGTACTCTCTGGCTTAGCATGCAAGGCACTTGGCTGTGGCAGCCCCAGGTCATGCCACCATTACCACTCACAACAACAGGAACGCTAGCTTTGATGAGGAAATCACCGTATGAAAAATTTAAAGTCAATGAGAAGTGTACAGTTTCAATCACAGACGTTTGAAAGATGTGCCAGGCAATTTCTACATGTGGCTGTTGATAACTGCAACCAATTTCATTCCTGTGTGATTTTACAGAACTTGAACTGTAGTTCTAACCTGATTCTTCCTGATATCTCTGCATTCTTGCTGGTTCTAGACAGCTTATTTTGTCATGTTTTCATAGAAAATTCAGTAACAATATTTCACGTGATTTTGTGTACAAGTAGTGATAACTGACCTATGTTTTGATTTAATTTACAATAAGAGTTAATAAAGTTTTACTGTAACTTCCTTTGGAGTTTGAATTCTTGTAGTAGTTTTGATATTGTGTTTTTTAGGAGTTCCTAGTTAATTTTATTTTTAAGGTTTTGTAAGGATGTAAGGTTCTGCCACACCAATAGGCAATGTGGCTATTTCTGGCTTGTATGATCTTAATTTAAGAAATATTGGACTGGTATTCTAGTTTATGGGACAAAAGTCCTGCCTGCCACAAACTGAACTAATTTATTTTCATGCCTCATAGGTGTTTAATAACACTGTATCATCAGCTGTGCTCGTGTCTTTGTTAAGTGGATACCTCGGTTAGCAGAACTGAGGTGTTGCTTTGTCCTCTGTTACTAATGTGCTCATAACTGCAACTGCAATCACAATATTTAACTTTCCATCATGGACTAAGGCTTCTAAATCCTAAATGGGGAAGTTCACTTTGACTCCTGGATAGCTAGATGCATGGGGTAATGAAAACACCAATCTGAGTAGACAGCATTCTTCAGTTTTCAGGAGGTAACAAGACAGAGTCTTCACACCAGCCTGGCTCTGGGGGCAGAGGTAACCACAGCCCCTACGCAGCAAGGTTTTTCCTACTTCTCTTGAAGGCTTCGTTGCCTGTGGCAGTGGACGAGCAGATGTTGTGTGACCTTCCCTCATAGGCACCGGCAGCAGAGCCAGTCTATGGATGGCTCTCTGGTCCTGCAGAATACCACCCCTGCCCATGCGAATGCGTGGGGTGGTGCCAAGAGGCTGCGTGGGTCCTTCATCCCAAAGTGAGAGCTCCTCCGAAACACCTCAGAAACGTCACTTGCCAAGTTGTTTGGTTTTTCAGTGTCCGCATCAAAATATGATCCCCTTGGGTACAATGGATGCCTTTTTCATATTCAGTGGTAACATGATCATTTGATTACAAAGTATTTATGAGAAGTAAATGATAGTCTGTGGTAGAAAAGATAATTTATTGGCTGTATCAGTAGAAGAATTTTCTTAAATGTGTCATATACTTATGGCTAAAATACTAGATAATATTACAATACTTGGTATTATAAATAGAATTAGAAATACTGGGAATGAGAGAGTTCCCCAGTGAAGTTGACTTAATTTTATTATAAATTACTTACTAATCAGTTTTATATTTTTAGCTTTATGTCACTAGCATTTAATTGCTCAGCAGAGGGAGAAGGAAGAGTCAAGTCTCGTGAGCAGGAACAGAGCTTCTGCAGCATGCGATGGCAAAATTCAATTTTCCTGCAGCAAGTAGTAGCTCTTTCTTTCTTTTATTCCTCTCTGAAAGAATTTCTATAGATAACTTCTAGGTCTAAACCTGGTTCAACCTCCTGAATATAAGTTATGGATAGATATCGTTATTGCACTTGTGCGGGATAGCTACATGGCACAGCACCACGTTTAGGTTCCTGAGGTAACTCTAGACCCAAAGATGATAAAAGTACATTCACTGAGCTTTTTAAACCCTCTGAGAGGCCAGCGTGGCCATGCTCTTTCCCCAGCTCCAGCTGCCATCGGCACTTTACTACCCTGGGTGTATGTAATGCTGTTTAACACTTTTTATATCAGCCCCGGTTTATCACTGTTTATAGCTTTAAAGCCTCTGAGGTTGAAATTAAAGCTGAATTTCTTTCTTTTTTTTTTTAATTTTTAAGTTTGGACAGCTGCTTTTTGAGAGTGGAGAGTGAGTTCCATTTAATAATAATATAAACATTAATAATTGAAATTTGCAACAGTTTCTTCAGAAGGCTTATGCTTTGGAGCAGTGGGTAGAGTTGTTGGGTGGGTGTCTTTTGCTTTTCCAGTTAAAATCTACCTTGCTTATGGCAAACCCTGGCTTCTCAGTAGTAGACATTTGTTTAGGTTTAACAGAGGTTTGCACGTTGTTGAATAACTCAGGCTGTAGGTCTCTAGCTGAGTCTTCTGCTCAAAGCAGGATCAGGCATGAGGTCAGACTGGGTTGCGAAGGGCTTGATCATTTGAATCTTGGAAACCTCTGACGATGGAGATGGCACAGCCTGTCTGGGCAGCCTGTTACACTGCCTGGCTGTCCTCACGGAGAAAAGAAATACTTATTTCTGCATTGAGCAAAGTTGAAAAGGGTTTCCAGTAGTTTCCCCCCGGCTGCTGTCATGTCAGGTGCCAGAACTGAGGCTGAAGAAGACATTTTCTTTAGTTGCGGAGTTCTTCTGCTGGGGTTTTCAGTGAGAAAACTCTTACTGAAACACAGACTGGCATCAAGATGGGCTGGGGAAGGGAGAGGTGGGTTATACAGGAGAAAAGAGCAACAGAATGGCAAGGGGCAGATCTCTGGGGCACAGGACTTGCAGTCTTTGGAGCGTTTCTTTGGCGCCTATTTTTCAGCCTGTACCTCATCTCCAGTGACCGTCCCTCCTTGGAGCGTGTGACACATGGAGGAGGAGCTCCGTGCCTTGTTTGCTCTTGGTGTAGGCATGCTCACAGATGGACATGGTGGAGAGGAAGTCCTCAGACTTTCCATGCTGCCTTTTTTGAACATGTATTTCACTCTCTGCCTCATCCAGTTCAAGGACTGCTTTTAGGCAGGTGGGGGACGTGTCCCCGTGCCTTGCCTGGGGTGGAGGGCGAGGGTGGGCGGAGGTGGGGGTGTGGTGGGAAGTGCCAGGAGGGCGGCAGGCAGCCCCAGCAGGCACTGGCGGAGATGCACTGGCACTTGTAGGCACTCATGGCTATGGTCTGGCGCCTGTCCTGCTGTGAGGCAGCAGCACAGCCCTTGACAGCCTCCGGCTCCTTCTGTTGTTCTCGGCGCTGCTCACTGGCCCCAGCCACGGCCCCACACCGATCCCTGCCGTTTCCTCCCAGGGCATCTTCCCAGGCACATTCCCTGCCCCTCTCTGGAGCAAGCCTTCCTGCAGAGAGGAGAAGAGAGGCCAGGATTCCCAAGCACTAACAACAGCAAAGCCAAAGCATATTGACAGGCTCTGGTGTCCTGTTGGCACTGCCAGCGGATATCCCCGATGACGGAGCTGTGAGAGGCCAGGTCTTCTCTTCATGGGGCGTGAACGGATGAGGGGCTATAGGCTCATGTGGGTCTGCGGGGATGGGAAACAGGATCCATGAAGAAGGTGGAGGTCTGAATCCTGTCCCAAGGAAGGAGGAAATTTCATCATATTCTTCCCTTGCAGCTGTTAATAAGATGGAGGGGTGGGAGGAGGACAGGAAAGCAAGTCTACAATAGACTACTTCTGAAATACGTTATGTTTTATTTCTAAAAGTACTGTGCCTTTTTTTTATTTTCCTCTATTGAATGTGCCATTTTCTAGATCTTTTACGCATTAGAAGCACTATGCAGCAGCTGTTGGGTTTTCTGCAGGTTTTTCTTGGTTTGCCTATTGGGAAAACGGATGTAAAGTGAAAGCTGCTAAATAGATCAGCTGAAGCTCTACCCTTGTTTTGACAGTGTGGTTTTAGCTCTGCAACAGCCTAGGTCAGGAAGCTGGTTTTTCAAAGGGATTTGGATTATTGGCTCGATATGGTCTCACCATATTTTTTCAGTCCTCTCTTAATAGTATTTCAAGTATTTCATTACCTTTAATACCGACTCTGGCTTTTCCTTTCAGATAACAGATTGTTTAGACAACCATGAAATAAAGGAAGTATTTAATTACTTTGCCACTTTTCAAACCCTAGTATGTGCTATGTATTCACTAATGCATACGTTTTTGTGTTATTCTGGAAGAGGAAACTAGGGGTGAAAGGTATGCTTATCTCCAGCTAACACAATCTGAGATATCCTATGATTTTAAAAGCTCGTAGGAGCTTTTCCAAACCAAACGCATGATGGTTGCTGATGAACAATTTGAAAAGGAGATTAAAGCCCAGTGATTCAACACCCCAGAGGCACACACTGCTCTGAAACGTACTCCCCAGCTCCCTGCTGAGCTCTAAACCAGTCTGGTTCAAACATGTTACAAAGAAGCAGCAAGTACTGCCTTGAGGAATTAACACATACTTTTATTTCCAGGGTATTCACTGTGTTTCTACTGTATTCTTCTCTGCAGGCCTCCCCACTGGAAGCAGATACAGCCACCAGGCAGCAGGTTGAGACCAGTCCTGGAAGTGCAGGACCTGCCAGCCCGGCATGCCCATCCCCAGGTGGGTTATTGCTGCTGCCCCTGCCCTCGCCCACTGCCCGGCTGGGCTTTTGGCCCACCCTGCAGCAGGAGTCCCATGAGCACATCCGCAGTGGCACCAAGAAGGTTTATTAGAAAAATGCAGAAGATGTCAGAAATCTTGACATAAAAAAGAAAATTTTTTACAGTAAGAACCATCATTCACCGCAACAACCTCCCGAGGGATGTGGTAGAATCCCCATGGCTGGAGGTTTTCAAGATGTGACTGAACAGGGTGCTAGACAATCTCCTTTAGGCTCCCTTTCCCATGAAAGGTGGGACTAGATGATCTTTCAAGGTCTCTTCCAATCTGGACTGTTCTGTCATTCTCTGTTTGAAATGACACACCTGACTGCATGTCACTGGGGATGTGAGTTGTCTGCTTTGCTGTCTATGTGCGTGAGAACCTGGTGCCACAGCGTGCTGTAACCAGAAAGCAATCAGGGCAGAAACTATCAGTCAGTAGTAGCTTCTGTTTTACTTCCCACCCCCCCACACCCCCCCTCCAAAAAAAAAAAACAAAACACCACACCACCAACATTAAGAAATGGAGGAGGAGAATAAGAAGGGGCATTTCAGTCCTCAAAGGGCTTTAAATGGACAGTATTTTGCACGCTTCTGATATTCTGCTTTAAAGCCTTTACACATGGTGCCTAATCTGGGGAAAGGAATTTGCTGTTAAAATTTGAAGCTATTTTCCTCAGAAGAGTGTTGCTGAAACATTACCGATGTGTAGGCATTTTATCTGCTGCCTGCTATCTTACTAAGTTCATGGTCTTTTTTTCTTGTTCATTTTTTAAAATGGGTCTGTCAAAGTTCAGCTTGGTATGGGTAAGTAAAAAGTGCTATTTGAAGTAGGTATTTAAATGAGATTTCTGGCTGTAATTGATATATAAGCATGATGCTCCAGGATAAATGTGACTTAAACAATTGAGCTTTGACCTCACACATCAATAGGGTACCATTCCCCCAAGATTAGAAACATATCCAGCCTTTTCTTGATGTGCTGCAAGACTGTGAAGCCTATGGGCTGTTAGCAAGGGCTCATTAGCTGACTTAACTTATTTGGCTCATAGATGCAATGCCAAAGTACAGAGGTTAACAATCTTGAATTGCATCTGGCAGGTAATGTAGAAGCTGCAATCTTGTGGTGAACCAACAAAATTCTTCTCTCAAGAGTCAGCAGTGATGAGCTGGTGATACTTGTCTACAAATCACAAAGCCACCTTGTGTCAGGCTCCACACCTGTGAGAAATGCTAAACATTAAGTATTGATAGCAAGGTTTGATATTGACTGGCAAGGAAAACTGAGATAGCATTGCAAAAACTGAAATGGCAAAGGAACACGGGTTTTCATTATGTCTGCTTTGGAGGGATAGATGTGATCCGAACTATCCTTCTTGTAGAATAAGCAACCTCCTCTGCTGTTGAGTACAAGCCAGATACTTCCATGCTGTGACCCCGTACCACTAACGGTATGAGAACTGCTCCAAAGTGGTGTGGGTCTGCCTGGCAGCAGGAGCAGCTCTTGTCTTTGCTTGTGTGCAGGTCCTTAGTGGAGCCTTGGGACGCGTCTCTTTCTTAGCTCACTCTCCTAGCCTGTCAACGAGATATGTTTGGGAGCTGCCGCTGCTGCTGTGGCTGGAGAGGGGACAGGATCTGAAGCTGAGATTCTTCATTAGAATCATAGAATGAATCACAGAATCATAGAATGGTTAGGGTTGGAAGGGACCTTAAAGACCATCTAGTTCCAACCCCCCTGCCATGGGCACAGACACCCTCCACTACACCAGGTTGCCCAAAGCCTCATCCAACCTGGCCTTAAACACTTCCAGGGATGGGGCATCCACAACTTCTCTGGGCAACCTGTTCCAGTGCCTCACCACCCTCAATGTAAAAAATTTCTTCCTTATATCTAATCGGGATCTGCCCTCTTTCAGTTTGAATCCATTGCCCCTTGTCCTATCACTACACGCCCTTGTAAAAAGTCCCTCTCCAGCTTTCCTGTAGGCCTCCTTTAGGTACTGGAAAGCTGCTATAAGATCACCCCAGAGCCTTCTCTTCTCCAGGCTGAAGAGCACCAACTCTCTCAGCCCGTCTTCGTAGCAGAGGTGCTTCAGCCCTCTGATCATGTTCGTGGCCCTCCTCTGGACCCGCTCCAGTAGCTCCATGTCCTTCTTATGTTGGGGACTCCAGAGCTGAACACAGTATTCCAGGTGGGGTCTCACGAGAGCAGAGTAGAGGGGCAGAATCACTTCCCTCGACCTGCTGGCCACACTTCTTTTGATACAGCCCAGGATATGATTTGCTTTCTGGGCTGCCAGCCCACACTGCCAGCTCATGTTGAGCTTCTCATCCACCAGCACTCCCAAGTCCTTTTCCTCAGGGCTGCTCTCGATCCATTCTCCACCCAGCCTGTACTTGTGCTTGGGATTGCCCCGACCCATGTGCAGGACCTTGCACTTGGCCTTGTTGAGAGATGCCTGGGTGCTTGTGCACTGCCTGGGAGGCTGGAAACAGTTCTGCTTCTAATGGTGGTAGTTTAGCTGTCACAGTCCTCAGCTGTTGGCCTGTGCACTCCTGGTCCCTTCTCCAGTAAACCAGCATCAACTTGTTAGGTTTTTTTAAGAGCTGCATGACAACTAGGCTATTCCAGTCCAAGGCTTTCTGTTAGCACAATTGTTTGCTGTCTGATGCTTGACCGATGTGGTTTAGTGGAAACAGGCAAGCTGGAATATCCTCCAGTGCTGACAGGGAGACCATGTTAATTGTAGTATAGCTAATTGTCTGGATAGCACCTTAGGATAGGATTCGTCACACGACTTCAGTAAACAAATCTATACCTCATTAGGCATGTTGTAGGTTGCAGCTCATCTCAGCTGAAGAGGAGTGTCTGAAATAGTCTGGGTGACTCTTCCCCTAGAACTACCTCTCTGTCTTTGCTGACCGTGAAGGATGTCCCGTGATGCCCAAATCAAGTGCAAACGCCTACATTTTGTCAGGTGAATTTCACCCTTAAAGCCTTGTCTTCTCTGAGAGATTCATTTTGGCTGTGCTGAAGAAAGATTATTTTTTCAAAAGATTCAGTAAATGGGCTCATAGTATATCCAGGAAGAAATCAGACTGTAAGAAATAGGTCTACGTTTTAACTGAAAAAATGTCTTAACCTTGCAACATTATCTATTATATGTGTGGATTAGGTTCAGATCAAAAGCAATTCAAGTCAACTGCAGCTTGTGCCAGCCCTGTTGTGAAGAGATTAGAATTTCTTCCCAGTCCTGTCCCTTCAGTGGAAGCTGCATCAAGTGAGAAAGATGTGAAGAAACCTGAAACAGAGCAGCAGAAGGAAGCAGAGCTCCCTGCTACACTAGAGGTATGAACGGGCAAGAAAGAGAGGGAGTAGGAAACAAACAAACAAAAAAGATCTCACATGGAAATGGTTATTGTGCAAATTGATATTTTTCTCTACGTAATGTCACGTCAGCAGTTCATTCAAAACAATCTGCCAGGGAATGACCCTGGAGCATGGTTTCTGTTGCCAAATCCTGTGGTCATCAGAGAGTTCCACGTCCAAAGGAAGTCCCCTGTGTCTGCTTGTAGCATTTGAACCTGTAAACTGGCTAGAGCAGAAATGAGAACTTAACCTGCAAACCCCAGTCCCACCGCACGTTGAGAGGGCAGAGAATCCAGAAGGTATGAAGAGTGGAGCTTACCCTCTTCGGCCTCTTGAAGTGCTGAACAAGTGCAGGTGGTGGCAGAGGTAACAAATGGCCGTGACCACACTACTCTGTCAGGTAAGTTAGATGTTGGTCCTGGGTTAAGATCAGCTTTAGTGTGACGGACAGTGTGAATATCAACAACTAACAGCTACTGGTTATTTCCAGGACTTCAATATTACAACTCCATGTTGTAATTCTAGAGACAGAAGCTTCATCTTTGATAATATTGATTCAGAAATAAGTAGAAAGAGTTTAAGTTAACCTTTGATTGTACCTGCTGATTTTTGAATGCTGTTTTCTGCTTCCAAACATCTGAACAGGTGATGAAACCAAAAGCCCTGGAACCAGAGGGGAGTGTAGTGTTGCCATTTTTAAAGAAACTGCCTGAGACCAGCCAGGTTACTCTGCAGAATTCTGGTCTACAAGGTAAGCAAACAGCTTTTGGACAACTCAGCTGGACAGCAACTGGATATGAGTGTGTGTGGTGTTTAGGGAGAAGTGCCTAATCAATGACCTGGAGGGTTTTAGACCTAAAATGGTTATTTTCTAGTTGCATGTGACTGATATTGGTAGTGTGGCTTCTGTGATGCAAAGGACTTTTCTGGCTGTTCCCTTTAAACGCAACAGCAGAATTGTGACACAATGGAGAGGGGCAGGGAGAGCCCTGTCTTGCACTTGCCTGACCTAGCAATAAAAGCCGTATTACATCAGTGAGTATTATATTTTATTAGTACTCCTGTTCACAGATGAAAATGACTTAGCAATCGGTTTTATCTTGCAATAAAAACTTCTGGAGTTAAATTCTGCCCTCAGCTGCTCGTGTGCAGCTCCTTTTCATAGGTGAATTGATTTTAGAGAAGCATATACGTAGATATTGTGAAAGAAAGAGAAAAATCATCTGAAATTTTCTTCCCTCTGAGAACTTACTAGGTTGTTAGTTTATGTGTAGGTAATATACTGATTATCCTAGTGTTTTCAAGATAGAAACTACTGCAGGTGATCCACTATGGAAAACGCAGTTGTCTGAAAAGGAATAGAAGGAGGAGGAGGGTGTGCTCTCCAAACAGGCTTTTTTTGTTAGACACGAATCAATCTGAACATCAAGTAACAGATTGTAGGTCTCTCGCCTATTTTCTGAGAGATGCTGAAACACTTGGCTGCTCTCTAGTGTTCACAGCACGTACAGCGCTGAAAGGGTCACATCAGCCTTTAAAACCTGTGTCTGCAGTAGGAATGAATGGGGGCACCATGCAAAGGCTTGAAGGGGTGGCTGCCCTTGCCCAGCAGTAGTGTGCCGGAGCTTTCGTGTGCAGTTAGGTGCCAGGTTACAAAAGTAGCATGTAAATAGGGGCAGTCCGTGTGATCTGCAGGCCCGTTGTGAGCTAGCTGCGACGGGCCGAAGCGATGGTTGCCAAAAATCCCTCTCGTGGCCAAAGCGGCTCGGGTCCGAGGGTCCGTCATCGCCTTTTGACCGCGCTGTGTTTCTTGTTTTGTCTCGGTGCCGTTGCCTGCAGAGCTGCCCCGCGGGGCCGCGGTTCCGCTTAGGGTTCGCAACAACTGGCGGCGCTCACTGTTTTTCTCGCAGTCAGGTAAATGCGGCGCTAAGACCAGCTTCAGCCCTTCTGCTGCCTCCAGTCGGAGCTGTCTTCGGACGCGGGGCTGGGGCGAAAGCTGGTGATCACGGGCACTTGTTCTACCTCTCGCTTTCCTAGAAAGTCTCTATTCTTGCTGCACAGTTGACAAAGAGCTGTTGGGCTGCACGTGGTTGTGATCCTCCGGTTTCAGGCACCCAATTGCCTATAAATACCTTAATTTCTTTAAATCAGCCTGATTTTCGAAGACATTTGGATAGAAAATGGCAATGGTTCTCTTCGTAACTGTGGCTCTTGAATAGTGTAGTGTAGTCCCATCCTTTTAGCTTTGCTGTGCTTTTTCCTTCCTTGCACCGAGTCACGAAGGGAAAAGTAGATCAAAGTAGGTAACGCTCAGTGTCCAAACACCGCTAACGTCTGTGGCCAGAAGTAGATGGCATTAGCTAGTGGTAGAGTAGAACGTGATGTTAGTTAATATTGTGCTCCCCTATACCCAGATAAAAACTAGTTTTGTTGGTGATGGGAGTAGTCTGTTTTTCTGGTTTATTTGCTTGCAGTTTGTCCTTGCGTTTGGTTGTGGGAGCAAATACAAAACTAACATGAAGCTTTTTTACACAGATACAATGTAGCTTTAATTGCAGACTAAGCACATTTTGCTGTGTTAAATTTAATTTTTTCCATTTTCTGTTTTTTTCTTTTTTAATAGCTGATTCTGATAGTGGTGACAAATCAAATGTGAGTACCTTTTTTGCATCATTGTTTGATTTAGAGATAAGTGTTTAGCGAAAGTGAATTTTTTTGTGCAAAAACTGTCTTGTGACATCCCCAAATCAGAATGAGAATTTTTTTTCTCCTGGAAATGAGAGAGAAAAAAAAATGTAACCCAAATCAAGTCATGGTCCGAATTTAGAATTTATGCGTTTTCTCTTGTCTGGAGGGAATGCTGGCTATACAGTACTGGGTTGTTGGAACTGCTAAAGCTTCACAATCTCAAGGTAATACGAAACTCCAAGTTATCCATTCTACTGTAAATGCATAGAAATTAGAAGACCACAATTCTACTGTCTCCCCAACAAAGAAAAAAAACTCCTCCACAAATACTACACTAAACTGCAGAGTAGTTCATATTCCATTTGTCACGTGCTAATAGACATGACTCTCTTCCTGTCAGATTCTAATACAACTCTTAGTGGAAAGGAATATGACATCAAGTGTCTAAAATTGCCCTTTTTTATAAGGATTTTAAACATGAAAAGGTATCATATAATGAGATCCTTACTGAAGCCTGAGATTTTATTTCACTATGGATACAAATTTAAAACAAGGCTATAGGCTGTTGTGCTGGCAGCCATATGAAATGAGATATTTTTTATAATCGCAAATTGCTTCGCATGTTGTGCAGATTATAGAGGAGCAAAATAGATATTTTCTTTAAATTTGAGTACCTGCAGGTATCTCTGTTCAGTGCTGCTTAGAGCTTTCTTTCAGATCTTTTTTCTTTTTTTTTTTTCCCTCCAGTTGAAGTTTCCCAAGCCTTTCTTTGCAAACCAAATGATTATTTTATCATTTGGATACCTGTGGGCAATCCCAAGTGTCAATGAAGCTAAGAATATTGTCTGCTAACTGAGAGAACCATTATCTAGTTCTCACCTTCCCATTTTAACATCATCGCCAGGGGTAGGCCAGGTGAAGCACAGCTTTCTCTGGTAGCCTTGTGAAGTATAGTGTCAAAGTCTAATAGCTTGGTTTTCCTTCACACAAGCGTTTCAATTTCTGGTCCTGGGATCCAGAAGAAGAGCGAAAGCGCCAGGAAAGGTGGCAGCATGAGCAAGAGCGCTTACTTCAGGTAGGAAAGAAACTACATGTCTTCCACCACGTGGTTCAGCTGTTGAATTGTCCCTTTGGACAAAAATTGGGCATTTTGTGTCATGTGTTCCACGTCCTCTGTGGATGCTTGAGCAAATTCTGTGGCAGATGAGTGATAAAATGAGCATACACACATGTTCTCTGTGTTTTGGGCACTCTTACATCTCCCTTCCCCACTCCATGGAAAGACCAAAAGGATTTAGTTCTGCATTCCAGTGCAGAGTTAAACCAAATGTTGATAGTCAGCTATATTTAAAGTATGTTGAGCACAGACTGCGAGACTCTTAATTACTTGGAGCCTCTTTCTCAAGACTGATAATTTGCTGACTCTGACTCCTATGCAACTCTTCTTTAAAATAGTGGTCTTAACAGATTTTTGTGGACTTCTGCTTTGTTTACAGGTTCTTCTTGGAAAACATCCAATGAAATTTGAGCATGAAGGGTTTGGGGGTTTTTTGTCGGGGGGGAAAACCCCCTCGAAACAACCACTGGTTTTGCCTAGTGGTAGAGTAAGCTGTAAAAGGTCTAGGTTTGTGTCCTAGTTGGAAATTTCCTTTAATTTCCTCCTTGGTCAGTAGTCTTTTGAAACTGTGATTAGAGTTGATTGCAACAAAAACATCTCTCTTTCTTTCCTCCATGTAACAGAAGAGCAAACAACTGTCAAAGGATGGAGAATAATAAAATGGAGTCCTTTCCTCTTTTGAGAATAACTTGCGTGTCTCTCTACTGCTTTCTTGACATTATTTCTTTTTGTTTCCTATTAAAACAGTGTAAAATTCTCATCATAATTTTTCTGGCATATGTGAATGTTCTCTCAATAGCAATGCATCTCTTCTGGATTAGGCAGATGTGGTTCCTAATTTGTACAGAAGTTGGAACTGGTGTAAAACAGATATGGAAGTCATCATACTTGCCCATATTCACACCAGTTCTGTCAAACAATTTTGAAGATCACTTTGAGGTAGTTTTTCATGCAAAACTGTGTGAAAACAATTCCCAAGAAATAGTTCCATCAAGGGAAAATAATCTACTTAGCTAATTATAAGCTTACCTTCTTCAAACCTTTACACGCTATTCATTTATCTTTTAAACTGGCACAGGTATTCATCATTCATTAAATTGTACTCACATCTCTCTTAAATTAATACCAGTATCTCCAAAACCTGCTTCTTTAAATGTTAGTTTGCTGAGTTTTTAACGTAAAATCCATGCCTAAGTGTTTTGGGGTGTGCGATAGCTTTTTGGAACTCTTAATACTGTATAATAAACAAGGAATTATTGAAATTGTTGAGAAATTCCATTTCTGACCAAAGATTTTTAAACTCCTGACAAATTAAACAACTTCTGATATGTTAAAAGTTCCAAGTGATTCGAAGATGTTAAATGTGCTAGAAACAAGTGGGGAGAATCTAAAAATAAATGCTTTTTTTGACACTCAGGGATGTTTCAAATTTTTATCTTCCTATTTTATCCCATTTCTGAAAGCAGGTTCATTTTCACTGTGAAGATACTACTTCTAATACAGAATGCTCTGAATTTACCTGTATTTTATGTTCTTACAGGAGAAGTATCAGAAGGAGCAGGACAAGCTGAAAGAGGAATGGGAAAAGGCCCAGAGAGAAGTTGAAGAGGAGGAGCGTAGATACTACGAGGAGGTATGAGACTCAAAGGAGGAGGTTATTTACTGACTTTTTAGGTATTTAAATGTACCCACTTACGTAACGAAAAAAATCCCATACCTAGGTTAATTAATGAAAAGCCTTCTCAAGGCTGAATTCTCAGGAAGATTATTTCTCCTAAACACTAGCATAGGCACCGAAGAAATACATTTAAATATTTAGACAGGTATCCTCAGAACCTCCGCATAGTTGGGGGTGTCTAATTGCTGTGCAAGTCAGGGTGAGTCAGTATGGTTGTGTCTGGGCACGCTCAGACTTCCCTCCAGAGGCAGAGCCTTGTGCGTTTTGGCATATACTTGGTGCCTGGACTTGGTGGAACTCCAGATGAAATTGTGGTCTGCCTTGGGCTTGATCATGTAGATGTTTTGTAAACTGGCCTTGTTTTAAAATGAAAAAATCACAGGAAATGTTCAAAGCTTGCAGTTGTAGAATATTAAAAGTATAGAAGATAGTGTTTTTCTTGTGTTGTATGTGGGTCATTATTGCAGGAAATTGGAAAATATTCATGTTTTCAGTTTGACTAGTTGTACATCATGCAGACTGATGTCTTATCATCTGTGCTTGAGAGCCATGCATGTCATCTGAACAAGAAATCATTCTTTTTTCAACTTTCAGAAGAAGTTTCTCATGTACCATATTTTTGTATGGAATTTAATAGGCTGCTGTTGTGAGAAACAGTGGCACCATCCCAAGTGGAATATTCTTTCCAGTTTTGGATGTCCCATCACAAAGATGGTAATGGTGAAAGGAAAGCGAGTGCAAAACCTTGAGGCAAATTAAAAATTGAAGTGTTACCTTTACTCTTGGTTACCACAGGTTCTTGCCTGGCCATCTAAATGTGAGCATGTAGCCAAACTTTATGATTCTACTTTTTAAGCTCATAGTTGACGTTCTGTATTTTTAACTCCTGCTCTCTCCTGATCCTCTTTTTTTTAGGAACGTAAGATAATTGAGGATACTGTAGTTCCATTCATTGTTTCTTCAAACTCTGCTGAGCTCCTCTCTTCCTCTTCCTCTACCAGTGAAGGAAACAAGACAGCAGTGAGTTTCTCATGGATTAGTAAGGCAATAAAGACTAAGCTATCTTCGGTGCAAAGTTTCATTCTTCCCTAAAGGCTAACAAAGTCTGGGGACAGTAAGAGTACTCCCTGGATCCTTCATGTAGCTGATGATATGTCAGACCGTTGTAACTTGTGTATTTTTACATCTGAGGAGCCATACTCCTAAGCAAACTGCTCCCATCCTATTTTGGGCTAGAGCAGAGGCCGATAGTTCCTCTCTTTGCAGTTGCATCTCTTTAACTGGTGCTGTGAAAAAACAGTCACCTGTTTCTTTTAGCTGCCTTCTCAATGCCAACAAAATCTGAAGTGATTTCCCTGCATCCAAAATTTGGAGTGTAAGATAGTACTGTAAGCATATCTGAGATGAGATTGAATCTACCTCCCCACTTTTCCTCCTTTCCTCTCCCACCATCCCTCCTAGAAAGCAGCAAAACGAATGTAGAAACTCTACTCTCTTTTGGCTTATGCAGCACAAAATGTTTTACTTGATGTATCTGGCATCTAACTACATAAGTGTTTGCCAGAGATCAGAGAAGGATCTCACCCTAGGTGAGATCAGTAGAATAAATGTGGGATTCCCAGACTTAATTTTTTCCTGCCTAAGGCACCCACACCAAAGACATCTGCCTTTTTCTGTTCAGCTCCAGGATTAAGAATACTGTATCATCTGGTTCTCCTCTCACCCTTCTTGCCCCTTCTGATCACTCATCTCTGTGGAGGGGCATCAGCCATGGCCCTTTTTCCACATAGCTGTGTAGCAGTAACTTCCTGGGTGAAGTTGCTTATGCCACATTCAGGGCAGTGTCTGCACTCAGAAGTGAAGGATCTCATGCCTTGGCTTGCTCAAGCTCCACCAGTTAGGTATGGCCCACTCCAGTACCGTTTTGGAAGTAGTACTGGTGTTGCCATTTGAGAACACCCAGAGATGTGAGTAATGCTCTGCCTCCTGGCAGAGTCAAGAAGCTGAGGTCCCTCACACAGTCCTCCCAAGTCCAATGGGAGACTGTCTACACTCTCAAAGTCGTTCCAGGATTTCTGCCAAAAGTACATAGTGGTAAGTTTTATTTCGTCGTCCTGAACACCATCTCATAATTGGTCAGTCCTGCACTTTTTTGTTTCACGCTCAATTTAATACAATTAGTTGATTGTTTTAGCTGAAGTCTTTGTTAAATCCAAAGTTAGCCTTACCAAGGTCAAATGATTCCACTGAATAATGTGAGGTGTTCTTTATGATAATAAGGTGTGCCAACACAATATATCTGGGGGCAACCTGTGCTTTTCTCGTGCGTGTGCTGATGTCGAATTCAAGGGAAGCTCCTTGTTCCCTCCCCTGCTGTTTTCTAGAACATAACTGATTCAAACAGCTCTCCAGAGGAAGGCAAAAAAGAAGTTACAAGGCAGAAAAAACTGCTCTGGGAGCAGGACAGTATACCATCTCCGAAAAGCAAGGAAAATGAACTCTGGCAAGAAAAGAGGAGGTATGGATCAAGCCATTAACATTTCTTAGCCCTGCGGAGCTTTGTGGTTTTTAGACTTCTGGGATGTCACATCTGCCCATGATTGATGCTGGAGCATCAGCGTCTGGTGGCCTGGTGATAGGTGTAATATATCCTAATCAATATTCACTTGCCGCAGGCTTAGCATGTACGACGATGTGCAGTGCTAGTTTTGCGTATCAGAAGGCTCGACTTTCCAGCATATGGCTCTGCTGAAACACTGTCACAGCAACCAGATCAGAGCTCAGATAGCTCAGACATCTCCGTGTGGCACTGCACTGTGCCACAAGTGTACAAGTTTCACAAACCATTTGGAGGAATAAAGGAGCAGTAGCTGTTTTCACTCAGAATCTGTGTGAGATTGCCTGGCTATCTCCGAAGCGCTGTACCCAAAATTAACAGATGGTGTTCAAAGTCCTGATCTTTACCCAGCTGCTAATAACAGCTTTCACAAAGATGAGAAGCTTCTGATGATGCTGAACACTGGATAGAGAACACTGAGAAAAGGTGTTTCTTGGGCAAAGAAGCCATTTTCCACAAATCCAGAATGATCTTTAGTGCATGTCAGTGGCAGCTTGTGAGGCAAGTAGGAAAACTTGGCATATTGGGAGGCTTGCTAATTTGCGACAGTTTATCCTCATTGTTTTGTTATTGCTGACACAATAATAAAAATCTTGTTGCAAAAATAAACTGATATTCAAAAGTCTGGTTTTGCCGTTATATTCTAGGTGGCATTTTTCCAGGCATTATTTATGCAATGTGACTTATTTTTATTGGCAGTGGAAATAAAGTGCTCTCGGGACACCCGGAGACAGGTATCTTGAAAGGAGGTGAACAGGAACACCAGGTGCCAGCAATGGAGCGCAGCTCACCTGCCAGGCTGAATCTGCCATTGACTCAGGGTGAGAGTCAAGACTCTTCATATGCATGTGTTCTTTTCTAGATGGAAAGCTCACAGGTGTATACAGTGGCTTGAAATCTAACTCAGAGAATTTTGGAAATTAACAGTACACATGTATCTCCAAAATTAGGATCTCTCAGATTCTGTTAGCAAAGGTAAATATGTTAAAGTGAAATTTAAACTCTTGTTTTCATCAGAAACGAATGTTTCAGATGCAGGTAGGAATCTCGTTTGTAGTCCTGAATGTTCACAGTAGTAATTAAACACAGCTATCTTCCATCTTTTACATAATCTTACATATGTATAGGATTTATCTTGACAAAGAGAGCATATTTCCAACACTTGTTTTGTGTTTTGATAGCCAATTAGATTCTTTATGTCCATTTCAATCCAATAAAAATCACTGCCTCTGATGTGTAACCTTTTCAAGCCAAGTCTAACGTGACACTTGTCTCAATTTTGTCATTAGAAATGTCTGATGACATTTAAAATTAATAGATTTTTTTGAAGCTCTCATAGGTATTGATGTTTTTTGAATGAAGGAATTTCCCCGAAGCATTGCTGTCAACAGGGTCACCCTAAAAAAAAAAGGCAAATTCACTAATCTAGCATCATTATCTAATGCAAGTGAACAGTGGAAAGTAAGTAAGTAGGAGTAAATGTAGATTTAGAAATCGAGTTTTAGATTTTTGTTTTCAGTCTAGCATAAAAATTGATAATTCTAAAAAATGTAACATCTATGGATAGAAAAAGTTTCAGTGTTATTACTTGCTCCAAACGCAAATTCAGTTTATTAAACTGAGCACATTTGCTTTCCCTGGCACGATTTTATTGTATCCTTAGTGCTTTGATAAAGGTTGCTCATATAAAGAAAGCGGAAGATATTACCCAGCAATCCATCCTTGTGGATTTGTAGTTGTGATTAAGCAAACTTCAAAGGTTTGACAGTTTTTAATTTCTTCTGCAAATCGGGTTTTTTCTAGGTTCTCTTCATCAACTTGGTCCCCTAGAAATATTCTGACAGCTCCTTTCTTGCCCCCTAAAACATCACATCCTTGCTCTCTCCTTAAGTCCTTAAATTAGTCAGGACTAGGTTTGTTGGGGCTTTTTTTTTTTTTTGTCTTGATACCAAGAATAGGGAACAGGCCTTTCATAGGCCCCAGTGAAGTTTTTCTTCTCCTCTAAACCAGCTGGTTGGTGCACGACAGGGTAAGGCTCTCCCCAGCCCGTGAGCCACAAAATTGGTCTGGAAGAATCCAGGCAGTGCGCTCCATCTCAAAAATGGGACGGTTGGCTTCCTGGGCAGCACACAGATCATTGCACGTTGCTGGGAGGCTGCTGCTGACACTGAGCCTTGTGCGACCATCTGAAACACAGAAGGAAATTACCTGGGAAGAAATCCGTTTATCAGTATCATCAGTTTACCATGGAGAGCAGTGACTACACCACCTTCCTCTTAACTCTTGATAGCAAGAAGTTTGGATCCCCAGGCACCACAGGAAGTTTCTGACTCTCTAGTACTTCCTTCCTTAGGACAGAAGTACTTTATTTTCCCAAGTGCTACTCATGGACAGCTGTTTGATCTCTTCCTTTCCCCCTTCAGAAACTGAGATTTAGCAGCAGGGCAGGTCATGTGTACGCGAAGGTAATGCAGGGGAACATTGTCCCATAGAGGTCTTGTGGCATAGCAGAGCCTGTCTCTGACATTGTGGGAGGTTTCTGAGAACTTATTTTTAAGTAACGGTACCTCTCTTGTCTTCTTTATAGTGTGCCCACAAGCTATGCTGGGCTATAAGTGTTGACAAAAGCATTTTATCACAAGTATTGAGATTTCTCCACCTCCCATTGTAGACATCTCCTGGAATCAGCAGTTGCTGACAAAGCAGTCCCCACATCGTGCAGAGGACATTCGGCAGAGACCGCTCCTGGGCCACGGCACGGGACAACAGCCGAGCTCCGCAGGAGAAACAAGGAGGTGAGAACATAGATTAAAAGTTGTTGCACACGTTGAGAAGTCCTGCTCACTCTGTTCTTATACTTCTACTCAGTGTTCTTTATCAGTTAAATTTCGTGGGCAGTCCTGCAGTGTGCAGACACTTTTGATTCCTGGCTCTCCCACCAAGGCTGCCAATGTTGATCCACTTCTTTTCTCATTACAAGTTCCCCAGTAACTACTTTCACAAGAGAGGACACCCCCTGCTTGCCATTCTCTGTCATCTTTCTCTTTAGCTCTTTAAACGCTCGTCTACGTAACTGTTCACGTGCTTTATTTGATTTAAGACAAACATTTAAAGCTAGTAAGTGGCTAAATATCAGGGTGGGAATGTCAGGTGAAGTCTGCCGCTTTGAAGTTGGTATCTGAGGGCTTCATTCCTCAGCTTCTAAATACACATTAATTGCTACTTTCTTGTTCTTTAAGGATTGTAGCTTTTAAAAGAAAGTAAATAAATATTAATATTTTCTTTCTGCTATAAATTTGGTGAGGTTTTTTTTCTTGTCTGATGCTTTGCCTTTTGTTTTCGAGTGAACACTACTAAAAAGTAACACCAGTTCTTTCAGTAAAGAAGGGATATGTTTACCTAATATTTGCAAAAAGTGTACCTATGTAATGAGAAAGGAACATCTGTTTTCATTAGCATATATATGCACACAGTCTCCTGCAAATACATTACCTTTATGAAGCTTGTATCCAGTCAAAACCAATGTAGATTGAGGTTTCATTGCCTAATTGTCATAACAGACTGCTCACGTGTGTTTGAGAAAATTGTTATTTAATCTGTAAACGGCTTTGAGCAGTGAGAGGTTGAATCAATCCTATGATTTCTGATAACAAAAAACATGCATGGTTTTTCTCACCAAATTCTCGTGGGGTAGAATGGATACAAATAGTAATAAACCACTTTTCAGTGCTGGGGGCAGTTGGATTATCTGGTTCCGCGGCAAGGAGGGTTGGAACTGGATGATCTTGTAAGGTCCCTTCCAACCAAAACCATTCTATGATTTTTACTCAGTAAAGGGCACAGATCCTCCATCAACAACCCCACATCTGCTCTACCAGTGTGCTTCTGAGCACATCCCCTGCGCAACAGAGTACAAGATGTTGTGCCTTATCTTCATCATGGTCTGAGCTACGTTGGGTTGATAGGTGGGTAGAAGTCTGCACGTGGCTGGTGACCTTGCGAGTTACCTGATTGAGCAATAGCAAGCAGATCAAGGCTCTGAACCAAAAAAGGGGGGGTATTTTTCATTGTGTCAAAATAGCAATGGACAGCAAATTTATGCCTCTTTTTCCTTAGATAAAATCTTTAGAACTGGGAATTCTGAATTCCATCAGCTGGAATTTCTCCATACAAAACCTTAGTTTTCACTTGTTCTTCAGCTGTAGTAATGCATTTTCTCTCCTGTATTTTAGGGCAGGCTACCAGGAGAACTTCCGGTCCGGGCCATTGTCTCCCTGCTCTCCTGCTGCTCTGAGTCAGTCACCTAACAGGTACCAAAGGTCAATAAGGAATTTTGCAGACCGAATACACCTTGTAGTCGCTGGTGAACTGCCACAGTGTAAATCGTACTAGTATTATGTGGATGCACTGTTAATTCTTCTGAATGTTGCAGTTCATAACCATCCACGTAATAAACATGTAGCTCCCTCTCCCATATTTCTTCCCTACTTTAGCAGTATTGTTATGCTTTAAAATAACACAGTTCAGAAAGCACCTGTAGGACTCTGCTTGATCATTGAAATTTTAATGAAATTGAAATGGGATAACATAAGCCCTAGTCAAAGCAAGCAGTAAAGTGTGAATTCAGAGCGCTTGAGCCAAAGGATGTTGTCCTCATTGTGAATAGTCACATGCTGAGGAGTAAGGTATGTTCTAGATGATGTCACTGACTGACATTTCAACATTTTCATTTTTAAAAAATCCTTCCTTTAATTTCCAAATTTGAAACATATTTAGCTTACATATTTGCCTACATTCATGCAGATCTCCTAGAAATTTAATTGTCTCAGGCAATGATCTGTGCAGCTTTCGATGAGATATGTGTACCAACTCTAAATAAATGTTAACTGTAGCCTGATGTGTATATTAAATATGGTGAACTTATACAACACAGAAGCCATAGCAAGTGTTTATTCTATTTAAAGAACATTTTCCTTCATGTTTGATAGCAAAGCCCTCCTTCTGATGGCATTTGCATTGGCATGAAACTATGAGGAATTTTTAATGGGAACAATTTCTTCTGGTTTTGCTAATTGTAGCTACAGTTTTGGTGGAACTGCAGATCATTTCTGGCCACATGTAGCTAGTCTTGATAGCTTCTTGATATTATTTAGTAGTTATATCCTGATCTGAGACCTTTTTCCAAGACCTTTTCATGAAATAAATCTTAGTTTTTGAAATAATGAATGGGATGTAATTCGTTGTTCCACTAAAACATTAGAAAACTTCTCTTAAAAAAAAAAAAAAACAAAGCCCTTTATTCTTTGATTCAACCTTTCAGTTTGTCCTTATGATAACTCTGATACTGGAGAAATTAAAACAAAGATGAACTCAAAAACAATGCAGAGGGATGGGAGCGAAAGGCTTAAGGTCATAAGGGAGGAGAAGAAACAGGAGAAGTTATTGTAAAAGGAATAATGAGAATGAAGCTGTAAGAGAAGGCAGTGTTGTGCCTGGGCTGTCACTGGACGTGGTGGAATAAAGAATGATGGGCTCAGGAGTGACAGCAATTAGATGGAAGCAAGGACAGTTTTCTGGTCATGATGAGTCTTTCTGCTGCTTCTGTCTCTTTTTTCTCTTTTATTTTTTTTCTAGTGACATTTTTATCATGATGCAGTCCAGATCCATCTTTGTTGGTGGCTTATTATGGCATTACACCAAAAACACGAAGCAAGATATTGTAAACTTGCTTATCTGTGTACAGTTTCATCAAACCATCTTTTTCAAACTTATACAGTATCCTGAAATTCCTCTCCTGGTTTTAGCCCTGGCTAAATAAAACATGACAACAGATCCCTTTTGGTCTCAGGTTCATCTCAGTGAATGAACATCAGTTCTGGCAGGCTGGCAGACACATGAGAATGGAAGAACGTGAAACCA